CACGGCAGGGGGGTTGGACTAGGTGACCTTTAGAGGTCCCTTCCAACCCAAACTATTCTATGATTCTATGAAAGATTTTAGAGGCAGGACTCGTAGAAAGAGGTAACAAGTTTAATTAGATCTACTAACAGGACTAATAAAACAAAAACTTTTAGATTCAGATTCAGAAAACCTTCTTCAAAGGTATTTGCAAAAGTATAAAGTAAAAGCGTTCTATGTTTTTATGGCTAGCTGCTTACAGCAAAAGCCTGGAATATTGTGTTAAAGAGCATTAAATCGGATGTTGCTGGCAGAGGATCAACATTCCAGTAACAAAAGCTAATAAAGTCTGGTGGGTCTGTTCAAGCTGGTATCAAAGATCCAGGCAGACCTGGGCTGGTATCCAAGTGCTGGGTCATAAGTCAGAATAAACTCTTGTTATCGAAGGACCTTCGTTGTTCAGGAATTTTCAGCTCTCACCTGGGAACATGAGGGAAAGGTCTGGTTTCAGTTCAACTAACTTCAGCTGTCTAGAAGTTAAGCATCTAGTTCAAGGCCTCCGACTACGAAGAGAGAGAGAAGGAGGGGGCACCTCCAGGGCGCAATTTATTCCACCTACTTTGGAGATGTATTTTAGTAAAGGAAGAACCGCCCTCTGGAGCTCCGTCTCTGGGTTGCCTCTTTCATCGGAAGTGCCTTGACAACCACCTTACAGATGGCTGAAGTTAAGTGAGATGAATTCAGGCCTAACTGGTAGCTATAACCTAATGATGGAAATAATGTGGCAGCATTCCAGGAGGTATTAGCAATTCACATAGTTCCCAGATTCTTTTTTTTAATCATTTTTTATGACTTATGGAGGTCAATTGTGAAAAGCCCATCAGAACACAAGAAATGCTTAAAAATGCTGCATTAGAGAGATATTAATATTAGTCCCTTTGATGTGGTAATGGCTGTAGCCTTCTCGGCCTGCTGCTCTGGCCTGCTGCTTAATGCATGCAGTTTTTCTATTTACAGATTTACAGACTCTATTTTTGGTATTAGCAAAGAATATGAGCATATGTATCAAAGACTGTTCTCACATCATTTAATTATAGTACTACTGGCAAAGTAATTCTGGAAAGTGCCACTTAATTAAATATAAGCATTAACTTTTTGCTGATAGCTTATCAGAAACAATTAGACTTGAAATATGGGCAATACACCTAATGTTTAAAACTTTAAGTAGGAGCATTAAAAGCACAAAATAACCAATCTTCATTCGCATTCTCCAGAGATTTTCTGCCGAGCACAACCTCAATTTTCATTGGTACAGTGCTTCTTAGGTAATCAAGAGGCTGCAAGTTTATCTGGACTCCTTTTGCAACCAAAAGCTTGAGCCAAGTGGATGCTTTTGAAAGTGGTTAAAACATTTCAGGATAGCTGGTATTTTTGCCAGTTCCTCCTGAAGTATCAGATGTATTCTACTGATTATTTGGGGTGTGCAGACAACAAACTTAAGAACTGTTGTGGGCAGTCAGAAGATCTCACAGCTTATGGGAACTGCTTATTCCTTGCAAGGACAGCTTGATCAGCATTTATGTTCGTTAACTTGATCAGGGATATGCTTTCTTATCCATACGCCAATCCCAAATATTAGTTAATTCTATGTAATTTTTCATCAATAGCCAGATAGATCTAACAGATAATTAGACCTAAAATATGTCTGCAGAACTTTGAACTCTGCTGCTGTTTGCCTGAAAGCACAAAGGGGAAAAAGAAAAACAGTAAGCAGAGCTGTAATGAAAAGAATTATTCTTAAAGATACAAGGGCTAGAACGAACTAATTTCTTCAGAAGGTGTGTTTGACAACATAGAGCAAAACTACGTAGCAACTGATGGGAGATGCTTTTCCTAGATCTAACACTTGGGTAAGCAGAAGTAGCAAGATGGTCTGAAATAACACCATCTGGTGAACGCCTGTTTCTTTCTTCAGCAATCAAGAGGTATGTGTAACTATAAACAGAGAATAAAATAGAAATAATGCAAAACTACTTTTCAGTCAAATGTTACACAGAATGAACTAACAGCTGCTCTGGGAATGCAGAAAAGAATGTTCTTAAATATAGTAGGACATTTGAGCAAGCTGTTCCTATAAATACATTAACAAACACTGTGAATAGAATGTATGTTTTCTACAGAGCTGTGGACAGGTAAACTTAGTCCCAGACTGGAGAGCAACTATTCTGGCAATGAAACGTAGCAATGATTTAACAGTCACACAAGAAAAGTTCATCCCTTGACAGCGTGAAAGCAAGTCTGCAGGACATCTGTGCGTGCCTTTTTGTACAAGCAGTCCCATTGGTGCCAGTCAGAATTCCCATGTTTCTCCCGTTTGGCTGTCTGACATGCTTTGCTGGATTGCGCCTAGCACTGGGCTACCCGACCTTTGTAGGAGACAGCCAAATGACAGGAGTTTGTCCAAGAAGTCGCACTTCTAGATGTTTGATACTGTTGCTAGTGGCGGAAGAAGTGAATACACATTAAGGTGATTTAACATTTAGCTTTAGTCCTATGGCTTTTGCATCGATGTTTAGCATCATATCTATAAAAAGTTATGAAAATAATTGAGACCTCAATTTTTACTGAGTCTGTTATTTTGCAGTTGCTAACAGATGCGCAAAATCCTTGAAAAGACAAAGCAGCACTGGAAGTTGAAAAAGCAAAGCCACAAAATCTTAAATCCAACCTTACCTGGTAAGTGCCATTTATTAACGACTACAGATGTCTACAGGCATCTGACAAGGAAGAGAACTAGTGCAGTCTCCTCAGTCCCCAGTCACATCAAAGTCCACAAAAGATATTTGAAGATGCCACTGTGTTCACTAACAAGCAAGTCGGAGAGAAAGACGATTAAGGTCTTGGAGCACGTGTCATATGAGGAAAGGCTGAGAGAGCTGGGGTTGTTCAACCTGGAGAAGGCTCAGATTCCTCTTAGTACTGCCCTGTGACAGGCAGTGGGCACAAACTGGAATACAAGAAATTGCATTTAAACCTGATTAAAAATGTTTTATTGTAAAGGTAATTGAACACTGGAGCAGGGTGCCCAGAGAAGTTGTGGAGTCTCCATCCACGGAGACGTTCAAAACTCCACAGGCCAAGGTCCTGAGCAACCTGCTGTAGGTGACCCTGCTTTGAACCGAGGGCTGGACTAGGTGATCTCAGACATTCCTGCTGACCTCAACCATTCTGTGTTCTTTGAAATGGATTCAACCGGTGTAACTTCATAATCACTTTTTGCCTTGCATTGTCTCTCTACACACATTAGAAATGTTATGAGCTTTCCAGGCTACCAGATACATACTGAAAAACAGGCAAGGTATCTGGGCATTTGTGTTCTGTTTGCGCTATGAATTATGAAGTGTCCTACAAGAGGAGTTTTCTGTAATTTTCTGTTTACCAGATATTTAGTGGCAGATAAGCTGAAGCATATGTGGTGCTATTTGTAAGTATTTAAAAATAAACATGCACAACACTAACTTCATAAATGCTATCATGGAACTAAATGTGTATTTAGCAATGAACATAACAGAAAAGCAAAGAGAAGCAGATAAATGTAATTATCAAAGGAGATAAAAATTAAATTACACCTCCAGAGGGGCCCACATATGTGCTAAAATTCCAGAAGCAGCTGAAAGAGATGTTTTTGTACATGTTTGCTGACAGAGTAGCATTCTTCACTATGAATTATAGCTTCTCATATTTTTATCCAAGGAAAGAGTTTTGTTCTTTGCAAAGATTCTGAAGTTTTTTCGAAGCACATCAGTGATCTTAGCTACGTTGTTTGAAAGACACACTGAAACAAAGCTAAACCTTATCGTTGCAGTTTGACTGACAGAGTGGGTACTTCACAGCTCAAAAACTGAAGTCGCAAATCATCCTGAAGCAGTAAAATCACAGAATCATTTAGGTTGGAAAAGACCTTTAAGATCAGCGAGTCCAGCCGTTAACCTAGCACTGCCAAGTCCACCACTAAACCATGCTCCTAAGCACCACATCTACACGTCTTTTAAATACCTCCAGGCATGGTGACCCAACCGCTTCCCTGGGCAGCCTGTTCCAACAGTAGTAACTTCAAGACCAGTGAACAGTTAATAGTAGTTTCCCTTTTAGAACCTATTCAGTGCTATCAATCTTTAGCAAGAGAATGCCAAATTTACTGCAAAAAAAAAAGAAAGAAAAGAGTGTTTCTGCGAAGTTTCAAGAAAACTCAAATTATTTTATTCACAAAAGCAGAGGTCGATAAAAATATAGATATCCTGATCAGTTTTACAGACCATGTTCATTTCGTTTCTCCTTCACTGACAGGCAAAGCATCATGAAAAAAAACAGTAACAAGCATTTACATCACAAACCATTATTAACACAGATTCATGTATATGAGCAGATGTTTTAAAGTTTTTGCATATAATTATAAATACCAAAAAAATTACAGCTCCAACAAAACATTCCAAGAAAAACAGCTCTCTTGTTTTTTCCTTTTTGTTTCTGTGCTGTATTATTTTTCAGGGGTGACAAGAGTATGTGTTGTCTCACTGGCATTTAACAAATAGTTTTTGGTTTAAACTGAAATTTAGCATGAGCTCACTGCACTCCTTAAAGTGTCTTCTTTGAATTCCAAACCCCTTTATAGATCAAATTAGGATGTTTGTACTAGATTACTCAAGTGATGCCAAAAAAACTGGCCACATTGCTACTAATAGCATCAGGAAGCTCTTTTTTTTTTAATTATGGAGCACCCCACACAAAATTAACTGAAGATATCCTTGTTGTTCAAATCGAACTTCTGTCAGCTCAGTGTTTATGCATGAAACTGGAGCTAAATCTTTCCTCTTTTGTAGACATGAGTTCTCACTAGAAATCAGAAGTGAGTTTTGTGAAATTTATACAAGTCTGGCTTTCAGGACCATGATGGAAGACAACTGAGATTAAGCGACAAGGCCAATCATTTCTGTTTTCCTTAGCTTTGTTGTTATGTTGGGTTTTTTTTAATCCAGCTAGTAGGACTAAACCCACATCTGGAAAAATTCTCACTAGATAAACAGACCAAGTGCTAATTTTATTTTTTTATTCCGCTTTTATGCCTTTTAACTTTGGAGAGATGAAGAAATTGTGACCTCTTCCATCATAAAGATAAACCTTGACAAAAATGTTTTTAGAACAGGTTGCAAAATAAAACAAAGATTATTTGAAAATGAAAACCAAGCAGAAAATGCTGTCATTTTTCAAAAAGCAAGTACTGAACTAGGAGGACAAAACACTGAAGTACAGAAACTGACTTTAAGGAAGGGTTGTCTTGCACAGAAAACAACTCCAAACCCATAATTATTACTGCTATAATTCTGATTATCAAAATCTACAATAATATTTCAGGTTACTTGCATGCAAAGTGCTTCCTGCCTCTGCCTACCTAAACTCTGGGAGCATCACAACTGGGAGAGAGTTCGCTCTTCTTTTAGAAAACAGAAAATCCATTTTCATATATAAACAATTCTTGCTGCGTAAGAGCTACAAGAGATCATTTAGACCACCTAGCTCCTCAGGACAGGACTGACTACATCTGTATTACTCCTCATACCTTTATCTCCCGTTCCTTAAAATATCCAGCAATAGATCATTGAAAAGCAGGGACTCGTGCTTCATCCTGACTATACGGAAACAGTTGACAGTCAGAATTGAAGGGACCCGTTGCCAAAGGAAAGCCCTACCCTCTTCTTATTGCAGTCTGGATACTGAAGGCGGTGTAAGCTGTTGCAGCACAGATTTTCAATTGACTACCTGCAGAATGAAATCAAGGCTACAATCCCACTGACTCGAGTATGTCAGAATTTCGTACTTAATGTACAGAATAAACAAAACAAGATCACCGAGTACTACATACTGAAGACATAAAAAGTCAGAGTATTTTCAGCAAACTCAAATTCTCTACTGAAGTTTTCTGCAGCTGTGCGATTCTTGCGATTACATGACTACACCTATCTGCAACTCACACTTCCCCCCAGCCTACTCTCTCTGTTGAACTTGCGTTCATGGTAACAGACAGGAATAGCGTGCACCGTCTCCTTTTACAAAAGCAGAAAGCGTACATTACCAGTCATGATTACTTGGCATGACTCCGACACAATCGTCAAAATATGAATATTTAATAGAAAATTTAAATTTAATTTTACAAAATACAGATAACACTACCCAGTGTAGCAAAATAATGGAATTGAAAAATAATTTCAAAATATTTAAAGCATTAGGTTCTAAAATAAATAATGCTATCTAAAAGAAGTGTTCAGGTTTTGCAATTAGGAGGAGGCAGTTCCACTATTACTGATCTCTTTTTCAACTTCTTTACAAGTTCCATAATTTATGTAGAAAAATATACAAGAAAAGAATTTTGGGATAAAGAACAGGTTGGGTATGTAACATTTAACATAAATAAAAGCCTAAAGAAAGCCTAAAGCAAAACCAAAAAGAAAACCAATCGTTTTATTTTCTGTACATCAAGACTACAAATAGTATTTCAACACTTCATTTATTACCCAAATTAAGAAATTATACATTTTTATATGATTACTAGTAAACATCTTAAAATCACTCAGTTTCCCCACATTTAGAAGGATATTGCTGGTTACTGCTTATTAAATATGAAATCCAACAGAGTTTCCAGTAACAGCAAAATATTTTTTTGCATAAGAGATGAATACAAATTTGATTGTAAATTTTCATGATTTAAAATATAAAACTAAAGTTCAGAGGGATGCACTTATGAATCTTACAGTTTGAACTGTAATTCCTTTTTTAAATTGACCGCAGTTTGCATACGGATACCCAGCGATGTGCCTACTACTAGAGGATCAGTTCCTTCCATTTGAAAGCAAGTTTTTTCCCAGATACCAAATAATATTAAGCAGCATATTCCCACCTACTTTTCTTAGCAGAAGTACTGCAGGCAGATGGATATAAAAGCTGTTTAATCACAAAAAAAATAATGAATTTGACTAGGGTTTACGGCACAGATATGGTATTTAAGATGGAAAGAAATGATAGGGAAAAGGAACGTGAACACCACAGGCTTCAAATATAAAAGATAAAGCCTGATAACTTTGGTTCAAATAATTTTAATAGTTGTTACATGTATATTTTTCCAAAGTGATGACTTTTGTATGTATTGCGTATGCAACAGGAGTCTGATACATTTTTTAAAAAACAAAAAATCTGTACAGGCACAAAAGACAGAAACAGAACAGAGAAAACATGGATAGTCACATCCATCCACGACAGTGTTCAAGTGATAATGACACAGCCAAAAGTTGAACTTAAAATAATGCAAATCCGATTTCTCCAAGGTATTTCAGAAAGCACAAATGGAATATTATAAACGTTTTATCTCAGTGCCTACCATCTTGAGGGAAGGTAGTATAAAACAAAATCAGTTCTGCAACAACTATGATTTGTAAACAATTCTACAACATAAGTAAAGATGTTATGTTATCGGTAATGTGCATTTTCATCCCCTCAGTTCTGGGATATCTGCAAACATCTGCTTCACTTCCATCTAAAAGATTAATTACAGGATGTTAGCCCTGTCTCATCCCAATGCGCTGCATGGTACACAACTTCATTGCCAGTTTGTGAAATTATTTATGTTTGAACAGCACAAAGCCAAAGCTTCATCTTTGGTTAATTTCACTGAGATGTCACTGTTCTTTAAATGTGCTCTTTCTTCGCATAAACACAGAGAACAGCCACACTGCACACGGCATTCAATGTTTTGAATCATAAAGCAGTGTCAATGTAATATTAATTAAGGAAAGCTAACTAAGAAATCGTGTTTAAAAATGAAACCTATTTGAGGGCATTTGACAAGACACAAGAGCTGCAGAAATCTAGACAGAATTCCCTTAAAACTGCTTGGGTATGGGTGCTGCTTATAGAGTAGGCACTGGTTAGTTCCTCTGCAGATCATCCAAATAAGCATCAGTTCGACTCAGCTTAATTCAAATCCAGCAGCACATTCAATGGCATAAAGAAGCTTGCTTCGCATAAGATTTTCGTCATAAAACTCAGGAAGCTTCAGCAAGTTCATGCAGGTACTGGCAGTAGGTAGCCTGTCTAAATCAGATCCTCCATTGTGAATGCAAAATGCAGGATATAACTCCTGAAAAATGCAACAGAAAAAACGTATCAAAAAATACATACAAGCCAAAACCTACCCCGTAACACCTGGCACAGATCTCTAGGAAATAAATCATTAGACTAAAACCTGTCACAGTGACATACTCAAATGGCATTTTCTTTCATTCCTGGTGGCCCCAAAAGCACTCTTGAATTGTGTAGTGCCTCCCTCTACCTTGTCCCCACCAAGATCCATTAATTTGCAAAACACAAAGAAATTTATTTGGTTCTAAGGAAAAACTGAGAATCTGTTACTGTTCATACACTCAATTCTGCAAATTTATGATGCTACAAAAACAGTGAAACAGGAAATGGAAAAAGTAATACAGCAGCATGCAAGAAATTTTTTGTTGTATTTGGGAGAAACAACAGGGATTCACAACTTCAGACTCTCTTTACAAAGCCTCCCAAATGCCCATGGATGCTGTTTGTTCTGTAAGAACAGGAAAATTATGGGTTCCAGCTACACTGACATTTCAGTCCCATGCTGAACACAGGGAACAACAGACCACTAGCAATAACAGAGGTAAACAGCCAGTGAGACAGCTTCATCGGGGGCCCAACTTAAATGCCTCTATGCAAACGCACATAGCATGGGAAATAAACAAGCAGTTAGAGACATGTGCGCGCCTGCAGGGCTACGACCTTATTGGCATCACGGAGACGTGGTGGGATGGCTCCTATGATTGGAGTGTTGGGATGGAGGGATACAGGCTCTTTAGGAAGGACAGGCAGGGGAGACAAGGAAGGGGTGTCGCCCTCTATGTCAATGACCAGCTGGAGTGCATGGAGCTCTGCCTGGGGATGGAT